TATCACTCTGGGCCACTTGTATCAGACTATGAGATTAGGATAACTAAGGAGTTTCACAATCGGCTCCAATTAGCTTGTTATTTTCAGACAATCTTCTCCAGAAAGGATATTACCATATAGTTCCTGACTTCTGTTACATCCTGTATATAGTTAGGTAGGTAGTGTTACGGATGGATTCATCTGGATACCATTTGGTGTATGGGCGCTTCAAGATTAAGTATCCCTTCACTTAGTGGCGCTTGATCCGACTGGACCCATCCCAACCCGAGGTTGGGTTGCGATAGGGGCTGGGAGAACTTTTGTCTATATTTTTCATATGATTCTCTCTCTTACCAGATGCCTACATGCCGGACAAAGATCCTCTCATTGTCTGATCTGAGTGCCTTCATAGCGAAGATCCAAGCAAAAAGAAGCAAGCTGAAGAAGCTGGTTGTTATCCACATCTATTCTCACACAAGTGTAAAGATAGAGGAAGTGGAGAATATAGAGAGGGGAATTGTTGCGAAAATGAGCCATGCAACTTTCCTGCATGCAGATTTGGATGCAGACTGGACAAAGGACTTATTTTGGGATGACAATGACAGGAAAAAGAGCCCTTATTGGATCATTGTGATGTCAGAAACACCAGCAGATTTGGATGCCATTCATGAACTTTTCTCCCAATGGGATATAACTCCATTGGGGTATACCGAAATGGGTCCGGAAGGACCCACTTGGGTATTTGGGGGGTATTCGGGTAAGGTATACCCGCCTGGGTATACCATACATGTATATGGTACCGGAATTTGAGGTTCCAGAATTTAGGTGAATCATGGTGTGATGTGAAAGAGATTCCCTCAACTGGAAATGGAAATGCTATGATTTGAAATAAAGTGAGGATATGAACATTTTACGTCTTTAGGTCTTTGGAGTTCCTGAAGCGAATGGTACAGTTAAATCTTTTGACCAGGGAAAACATTCCCTGGTTAATAGGGGAAGAACGAAAGAAATACGTTTAGCAAAATGTAATGTGCGAACTAACGGAAAAAATTATAATGACAAATGAAACAAGACCTTATTATCCAGAGCGTATACGAGGATGAGAAATGGTTTTCATCAATGACAACATAGGAGAAACACTCGTATTCCTGAAAATAATTTTTTACGTAGAAAATTTAGACAGACCAGGTAGACTCCTGGTAATTGCAGAGGAAGGGGGGTGTTTAAAGCAGAGCCTGACTGGATAAGGCGAAAATTATTTCCTTAACTTTAACTCCGCCTCCTCTTTGTGTAATTGACTCTTCTGCAGGGAATATAGACTTGAATGTGGCTAAAGAAAACATATTAGGGGCCTCATCCCCGAAAATGTTCACATTCACACGGAAGCGGTACTCGCTGGAATAGCCTCAGCTCCACTGAGAGAGACCCAACGGCAATGTATCCTGAAAAGAATCAAGCAGCCGCATACAAAGGAAGCTTTCTCAAGGCCTCTTCTAAGCGCCTGAAAGTCATGTAGCACTGCCGCCCAATCTTGGTCCAACATGAGTAGTTGATGTTGATCCAACGTTGTGCCACAGGACAGGTCCACAAGAGATCAAAGTCTGTCTCCAACATTGGCCCACCTCACATTTGGGAAATTGAAATATAGATACAATAGACTCGCACAAACAGAAATTTCACACGCACGAAATTTCTGTTTCACATTCTCCTACTGCATTCCCCGTCCGTCCCCCAGCCTCTCGTGGCATGGCGTGTATGGCACTTGCCTTCTCTTCCCCCCCCCCCCCCCCCCTCACTACCCGCTCCTCTCTGTCTCGTTGCCTCGACTAAGGCAGAATCGATGGCTGGGAAAAGGAAACACCCACGGACGTAATCATGATTTTACTGCAGAAGGAAGTGAAAAAATGCCATATTCCTCCATCCTTATAAGTAATGAGGAAATATTTTGAAGATTTGTTCTCTAAAAGTTTCTAGAGTCGTTTGAACGAAGCGCAGCATTCATTTAAAGACAGTAATAGAATGCTTGCTTTTCTAGTTGCGCAAGACAATGATTTTTTTTCCCCTTCGGCATCCGTAAGAAACGGTTATGTTATTGATAGAAAATGGTTGGTAGTGCAGTGTCCCCATGCCCAAGCCGAGAAGAAAAAAACTCGATGTGATTAAGAGTAGAAATTCCGGAAAATAGCTCCAGTGTCTCGTCCAAGGCCTGTCCGCATGGTTCTGGTTTCCTTTTCCTTCTTAGATCATCCGAAGGACTTCCTAAAGGTCAATAGTATCATTGAACCTTTCCATCCTGGCTGCAAAAGACGATCAAACTGGAAATTTAGCCAGTAACAGGGAGACATCATTCACTTGGAGTTCCCCTATTCTTTGTTTTCCTGCTGCTCTCAATGCTGTCATATATTGATGGCGACCCTCCGTTTGACTCGTTTGTATAATTGCAACAATATCTATATACCTGAATGGGGAAAGACCGACTATAAATCCTTCTGGAGCCTGATTTTCCTTCCCTTGACATTCATAAGACCGTCACCGAGGAAATCCGAGAAGTATCTGCAAGCCAAGCGTGCGCTGGAGGCCTGGCCTGAATCGACTGCCACCCTCAGATTCTCGCATTACGTGCATTCACATGCGTACACGTTCCCCCCGTCGACTCCGCTCCTTCCTTGTCACCAGGCCCATGAGCCACTTCATCCCATCATGCCTCCAGTCAATGCACAGCAGAGGAAGTAGATCCAAGGACGATCATCGTGTGAGAAACACAACGCTTCCGTTTGCCTGTCACTTCTATCGCTGAGTCTTTCCATCTCAAGTGGTCCAAAGATGGTTGCTGTACCGACTGGGTTTTCGACTTTAAAAATAGCGGGTACTGGAGATCATGAGATGTTGATGTATTGAAAATTGCAGTGGCCTAGGTCAATCGGTCTTTGAGATATGCCCCTCAAAAGTTTGGGAGGGAAAGATAAAATGACCCCTCAAACAAATGCATTATCTCCCGAATAATACAAGCTAGAATGCTAGTTAATAGCCCATTTTAAAGCGAGTACTCAGGAATCTATAAATTATTGCATGCGTTTTCCTGTGCCTGAACTAAAAAAATGCTAATATTTTCTGAAATTTCTGAAATAAAGTTTAAACCCCAAAAAATTCACGGTGAAAGTGCTTGTAACTAGACCCACTTTGGAGTGTCTCTCATGGTCTGTGAGGTCTGTTCAAATATACATATTTTTCGTATTTACGCCGCTTCAAAATCCTGCTATGCGTTCGTAAAGTTGCAAATTGTGCCAAAGTTGCCCAATTTTGACCTTCTATAACTTTTCTTTGAAGTACAGATATGCTTCTTCCACAGAATGATAGATCTTGCAAAGCTCTTTCGTGTCATCATAGTCCCATTGTGTTACTCCGAAAGTCAGAACGCTGAGAATTTCTTTTCTTGGCCATCTCAAGCGAGATTAACGAGCAAACACTCAACTCCATCTGGATTGCGTTCGGGCTAGAAATCATATATTTGATTTTGTGGGTTTGACACGACATGAGAAACACCTTCGCGCATTTTAAACACGATATACTATTTGAAACTTCATGAGATATTCACATGGTCTCAAATATTAAAAATTGAAAAACATCATTCAACTTGGAATAAAAGAAAAGTTCCTGAAGGTCAAAATTGGCCACATATGCCACAATTTCCTACTTTAAGAACCCATAACAGGATTTCGAAGAGACATGAAAAGAAAATATATGTACAGTATATTAGAGCTAACCCCTTTAGAGCATGAGAGACACTCAAGTTGTAGTTTTTTGGGTTGAAAATTTGATGATATCAGAAATTTCGTAAAATTGTAAATTTTTCAATTTGAGGCATAGGAAAACGCTTGGAATAATTTATGGATTCCTGACCACTCGCTTTAAAATGAACTATTACTCTGCCTTCTGGCTAGAGAAGTTGGGGAGATATTGAATTTGTTTCAGGGGTCAATTTCCCACTCCCTCTCAAACATTCAAGTGGCATATCCCAGACTATTTGACCTAGATCCCTGCAGCTTTAGATTGGATCACCTCCCCAAAACAAATGATTTTTAATGGTAAAAATGACAGTCAGTGCAGTAACTCGTACCTTTTCGAAAATTGAACCCCTTGACAAAGAATGACTTCGCTCGAGAGTGAGAATGCCGGAACAACCGGAGCGTGGACGTTCCCATCGCCGGGAGTTTCACCTTAGAAAATACTCATTGCTTCAATGTAATTCCTACTATCATAGTTCTCTATTTGATGTGGCGACCCGAGCCCGACGAGCGTCTCTTGGCCAGAGCTCGCCATTGTGTAATTTACGTTCCTTCTCTCTCTGCCCTGACCTGCAAGGGAAAATTATTAATACTTGGTACTTTATCTTTCGTTTTTCCATAACGGCTGAGACCGAGACTCCATTCAGATAGTCTCCAGTGCACTTCGAGCCACGCAGAGGCGCCGAGAACTCGGCGAGGAAAATTTTCTACCCCTCAAAAACGTTCACGTGGAACCCCAAAGGAGGAAACCGAAATTTCCAAAGGTTGAAATATAGTCACTGAACGCAGCGACAGCATCCACTTACATTTATTTATTTAAAGGGAGAAAATGCGGCAGAAGAAGTTGGAAAGGAGGACGAATAGAGGAAGGGGCGAGAGGGAGGGCATCGAGGACACAGAGGATCTGTCGATGTCCGGGCCTTGCACTCCGTTGCAGTAGTCGCTCTGGCAGGTGCATCTCCTCAGGCCCTCCGGCACGGGCATGTCTTTAGAGGTGAAGCATTCCTCTCGGAACCAGATGACCCCTGCTGCCGCTTGGAGCTCTGTGCCGCCGGAAATATTACGGTGGATCTTTAAAAGTTCTCCTTTGAAATAAGTCGCCTGTGTAGGCGATACTCCGTTAAAAAAAAATAAGGGAAAAAAAGTCGCAGTCCGAAGACATTGCCAATAAATAAATCCGGGGAAAGTTTTCTTTGTATTACAATGTGAGTAATTAGATATTTATAAAGGTTATCCAAAGAAAGCAAAAGGAATCAGCAACATCAGGATGCTTATTGAAATGCCCGAAACTTCAAGTAATTCGTCTGCTTTCCTGAAATACTCCCAAAGCGCATCGAAGTTACCTCTAGAGCCATGGCTCGGTTTAAATTTGAAAAACATCATTTCGCAGGTTTAACACTGAAAATTGTCATGGAGGAAATCACGCAGGGGGAAAGGTGACACGAACCGCCTTACCCGTATGATACCACTCGCTCATGCAGTACCACGTCCCGCGCTGCGGCTGTTCGTAGTGGCTGGAGTCCCACGTCGTCCACCCGCTCGGGTCGCGGCAGTCGATGCGGAAATGTTCGCCGCAGACGTGGCAGAGCAAGGCGCTCCCGTGTCCTGTGGCACCACCGTTTTCAAAGAACCGAGGGCGGAATCAGAGACCGAGGGGAGTCCACGCGTTTCCCTCGACGCGCTCGCACGAATCCAAGAATAATTCTTTCTCGGTGCGACTTCGAGGCCGACTCACCGAAGACGCCCGCCAGCATGAGGAACCCGACGAATTTCATCGCAGCGAGTCAGCAAGAAGCTCTCATCTGTGGAGTCCCATACGAAACTATCAAATACAGTTGTATGTATGGGATGTATTTCGACATATTTGACTATATATGCGCCAAATATAGTGGGGAGGGATCGAGGAACATAACGTTATCAAAACATAATATGGACATATTTGTGGCATGTATATATGGCAATATACTGGCTCAATATATTGTCATATATACAATCAAATATGACAATATATTGGCTCTTTATTTATAAAGAGCCAATATATTGTCATGTTTAAATTTATGTTTTAAGTCTTTACTTGGAACTCCCATATGGGTGACGACATTCGTGCGGTTCAAACGAATCGGAATGGAATGAAGGGGCGGACACGCACGCGCGGGGCGTGCCCGTCAATTTCTCTGGCCGACGAGAAAGCGCTAACGCGCTGATTGCGATTTTTCCACCAATATGGTTTTTCTGCGTGTAGGGTAAACATACCTAATTTTGTGATAGTCGCACCTATAGCCATTCACAGAGTTAACTGTTTTAGTTTACGTAATGCCATGAATGCCTGTTAGATGGTAGCACTATGTATCTATTAATAAATACTAAATTTATGGCAGTGTGAATCACTTTAGCGTTATTTCATTTCCACTAAAATCTTAGTATCACATAATTGGGTAGGTTTACCATACACCCTCAAGAGTTGCTAGTTGCAATGAGGTGGAGTGGGGTTGGGGGGGGGGGAGATGAATCTTTGGACTGTTAAAGTCTGCGGAAAGTCACTTGATCGCCGCTTCTTTCTTGTTACATGCGTATATTTCAATTGTAGCTCTACAGTAGATTCACGAGTCACGGTGAAGTTCTACAGAGTATTATAATTCGGCAGAGGAAGGTGGAAGAGAATTGCAAGTTATTTTTTTCTGGGGAAGAGACTATTCAAATTGCAAAGCAGATGTACGTCGTTCCTTTCTGCGAGAGGGGAACACATGGATTGTGGATATTTTTTTATAGGAAATTATACGGACGATGGAAACGATCGAGGAACGTACCTGTTTCGGCCGGTCGAGTGTGAGACGAGAACTGGAAGCTTCACCGAAGACTTCACATTCGACAGTGAAGCGATGGCTTCACTCTGGAATGTCGTCGTCGGTGTTTACACGAACGTCAAGTCACCGAATGACTACGATGGCTTTCGTTCGCGCCCGAGCTGAATCACCTGAACCGAGCTCAACATGCGTAGGGCGATGATTGATGTGGATCATGTTTCGTCAAAATAGACAGATGCGGACTCGAGTGAGCGAGAAGAGGGCGACCCCTAGAGCAGCCATCTGGCCCCCGTCAGCGGCACAATGACTGCCTGCCGGAGGGGGACATACGGCCGGCCTTGCACGTACCGTTTCATCTCTTTCTGGCACGGACCCGAGCGGCAGGGAGTGGAGACGCGTCGCTCGGAGCCCAACGGGAGCGAGAAACTCCAGTCCGCCACTCCGGTCCGCCTTCGGGAAGGCCTCCTGGCCTCAAACTCGACTCGTCATGTACCGAATAGCTTCAAAACTGAGGATTCTCTCCTATGGAAATTCCCACGGTTTTGTATAGCTCCATCGTTTGAATGACCCATTTGGATCAATTTGTTATTCATTTTTGGCGTACGAGGAGGGGGAGGAGAGCGCGGGGAATTCCGCGTCTTCCATGAATTGAGATCCACAGACAATTAGTCGTCGATCCCGTGTCGATGTGCAAGGCCCTCCACGCTTGCAGTCTCTTGGCATTCACCCAAGGACTGAAGCGCATGGAGTCAAGGTTACTCCTTTCTTTTTGAAGCCAGCCTTTCAATGGGTTGTAATTATTCTGCGAAGCTTTTTCTCGTTTCAGACGAAGGAAAGAAGTCGTATGGCCTCATAAATGATCCTTCCCTACGAACTTCTGTCCCGCGGGAAAATGGCGATCAGAAGAGACTCGTCGGGGTCCATTTACTCGGATTTCTGCATTTCACGCCATGCGTCGGCCACGAAAATTATGAGTGCGGGCCGAGGCTCAACGGGGATGATTAAGTCTTGGCACGTACGACGAGAAATTTCACACCCGAATAATTGCAACGAGAACGAAGCAGTTGTCATGCAATGAGGATTTCGGCAAGTGCGAAGCGTTCTTCGAAACGCTGGCGCTTCCGCTTCCGCGGTGTCAAAGTCTACACCTTCACCGAGAGTACTGTACAGTACTGTACAGTACTTTCAACTCTCGATATACCGCCACTGTAGGTCTACGCCGATTTTGGCGTATATCGATCGAAATGAGCGACTTTAAAACGAAAATTTTTCGAAACAACTCAAATGTAAAATAGAATTAGCAAAAAGAATCCACTTTAATTCATCCATGCTGCCAATGGAGAAGAAAAACTACAAAGCATAGAAAATACATACATACATACATTTTCTTGGCCGCATTTCCCAACTTAATGGGGTCGCGGTTCGAGCATTCCCAGGAACATCCTCCAATGATCTCGATCCTGGGCAACGGACTCTAGCTCAGCTGGTGGGATGCCGAGCCTCTCGTGACCAAGCCGAGCAGCGTAATCACTCCACCTTGTACGAGGTCTACCGACAGGTCTTTTGCCGGCCATCTTGGCCTGGAAGACTCCTCTTGGGAGCCTTTCAGGGGTCATGCGGCAGACGTGAACAAACCACCTGGCCTGAAAAGACCTCTCGATCCGGAGAAGCAGCTGCTCGACGTGGAAAGCATAGAAAAAATTATTCGCAATGTTTTGCTGACTTTAGGCCGCATGTGTAACGACACACTTCCACTTTTTCCCTCACAATTATGACGGTCTTTTCCCCATTACCGGATAATAAAAACACTTGAACAATCTGGAGAAACTTTGAACCGAAAGAAGCGTTTCCATTCTCCAAAAGAATGAAAAGGAGAGGCAGGATTAGGTCAGATTAAGAGACGCCTTACGTCCCCCTCTAATACCCTGGCGTTCGTGCCAAAGCTAAGTCATCCCTCATAATCTCGTTTTTAAAAGATCAAAATGAAAGGCTGACAGCATGCCATTTTTTCCCACCACGCTAGTGCATGGTATAATCATTTTAGCTTGGAAGGTATGCTGCTTTGCGCTATATCGAGTACGACTTACGGTAAATAAGGCATGTTTGTGCAAGGCAAGGTGTTGGCGGATGGCGGCTTGCGACGGTGGCGCTATAACAGGGGAGCGCCAATGATAAGCCTATGGGGAAGATTCCTTCTCAGGAAAGAGTTGGTGCTAAGCGAGAGTGGCGGTATATTGGGTGGCGCTATATCGACGGTTGACTATACTTGCAACGATCATTATTGCAGGTTGTCATTTAAGAATGAAGGAAAGAATTATCTCCGCGGTTCTTCGAGTGGAATTCTCTGGAGTTGGAGTCTCTTCTCTGGAATTTTGAATCGAGATGCCACTCCAGGTAATAATAATACTTCTAGATGCAAGATTATCAGAGGCAGAAAACCGATTGTTTTTCTCGGCTTTTACCTTTCTTTAGGCAGATTCTCAATATATAGGGTGGACCAAAAAAAAAAAAACAAAGCTGTCATTTTTGGTGAATCGTCAATCTCATTGTACGTTGCCGAATCTGATTATATTTGGCAGGCTAATAGGGTGACTCAATTTGAGTTTTCATGCCGAATTTCAGCCTTCTGGTTCTAAAACTATAGGAGCTCTACTTATTTTCTGATGATCCACGACAAAATTTACTGTCGAAAATATTGAAAATAAAAATGTAGCAAATCTGTACGCAATAATAAAAATAAAGTGCTAAAGAATCAAATCACAATTAGAAAATAGCTTGAGGATCATCTTACCCATTCAAGTTTGCCTAATGTTCTTTGTTCTTGCGACTCTATTTATATGCTTTTCTTCGTGTGATATTCTCGGAAGCAAGGAACAACGCATGAAGGTACTTGACACTTTGTATAAGTTAATGCAAATTCATTCTGTTGCCTGCGCGAGTAGCACATAGGAAACCGCGCACGGTTTTTTTGTTCTCCTCAGTCTCAAAACAGCTCTCATTGCAGTTTTGTTTATAAGAAACCTTAGACAGCGGTCTCTTCGTTCCTTAAGGCAGTCGTTGATAACTAATGAAGGGAGCAAACAAAAAACTAACGCGTCAATGCGGGGCAATAAACATCTCTGGCCGCCCCAGGTCATGTTTACAAAACTCGTCAAAAATAGCATGTCGTTTGTGCCGTTCTTGCACTAACCCTTATTACGTGTCAAAGAAAGCAAGGTCACACTTTTGACGAACTATTAGAGAGCGATGAACAAAATCTGACAACAGGGATGTCCACACCTAAGCGCAAACGAGCGCCACACAACGATGCGGATAGATCTGTCTTTCGGCCGAGGAGGAAAACAATTTGCGTGCATAGGTCAGACGGTAAAGGTTAAACGGAACAGGACATGGACATTGGCCCGTATGAATAAAGGTGAGCTGGAGCTTGGGCTCAGCTAAAGTGGAGCCACAGCTCCATATTTTATGAATAAAATGCTCGGAGATTAAGCTCCGTGAGCTGCAGCTCCATGCCTGAGAGAGGGAGCTCCCTTCTCCATGAAAGATGGCATTTCGTATGAATAAAAGGGAGCTTTGTCTCAACCCTTGAGCTAGAGCTCGTAATATTCGGAGTCTGCCAAGGGGCAGACTCAGCTAAGAAGTCTCCTTGCTGATATGTGATCTATGATGACATGTGGTAACGCCAGTGTGCAGTTTTCGTTTCATTGATCCGTAATGGCAACAATAATGCCCCTTGTAAACTAAATCGTCTGAATTTTCTGATTCGGCGGCCCAAAAATTCCTCTCTAACATGTAAACCTTAGTTACCTTCTATGCTCTGGATACAATTCCTACCTTGTCGAGTATGTTCTAATTGGGTTCTACTTTCGAAATCCTACCCTTGCTTTCGAAGTTTTTTTCTTTGTCCACTTGGGGAATACTTGTTTCCAATAATTTATAGAAAATCCCAGACTTACAGTATAATGTGGAAAGGGGGCTTCAAGTGCATGAGTTATAAATGGCACGCCTGAGGATTTCATCGTGTTTCATATCCTCCCGATAATACGAAACTTTCTTCGTTGCGTGAACGTAACGTTGCGTGAATTTTATTCATTTTAAAAGGAGGAAAAGCCGACTCAACTTCAGCTCTGAGCTGGGGCTCAGGTTTTATTCATACGGCCCATTGTCTGGATGACAAGGACAGCTCTCGAGAGACTTCTTCCCTCCACTGCACTTTCCACACTTACTGCAAGCAGGCGCTCTAGTTAATTCTGAATGCTTTCAATTCATTTCAATATTGCTAATAATGTTTAAGGCACATCAATTTCTTATTAAATTTTAAGAATCATTTAGAAACATTACGACTGTATTTATAGGGAATATTTGGCGAAAATATCTCCGGAGTGAACCGAAACATTAACATTGAAATTCCTTCGTCTTTCCTTGCCATGCCCTGTATACTAGCTCCTCCTATGCATGTTGCAATTGAGGATTTGGTTCTTTGTCAGGAGGTAACTCTTGCGTATGGGCACATTATATTTTTCTGTCAGGGAATAGGGGCTTGGGAGATATTGCAATTCCATCTTGGTCAATTCATTTTTCAGAACAATAGGAAAACCTTGAAGATGGATACATTGGAATTATCTATAAATAAGAAGAAAAGGAGACGATACTCACCGGTTCCATATCTCAGCATCTCTGGGATTAATCATAAAAACACGCAAATTCGTTAGCGAAGCAACTTTTCACAACCTCGAGACGGCCTGCTTGCATGAAGGAATCGCCGATCATGACTAACTCCAAATGCCTGCATTACTGGAGTTTGTAAAGTGAAATATTCTTAGGTTTCTTAACCAACTTTATCTTCAATATCTCATTCCATTCGAGATTTTTGTACGTGTGTAAATTCATTTTAGATCCATTTAGATTTGACCTATGATTTGATGCGAATGACATTTTGAAAAATGAATATATTAATTTTGAATCCTAAGTTGAACCCAAAATCCCAATGAGAAAGTTTTCACTCTTTTACATGGAGACATTGAGGTGGTAGGGGACAAAAATCTATCTGTCTGTGACTCATAATCTGAAAATAAATTGTTGCCACGAGTCCCTGGAGGAGCTTAGAGGGTTCTCACAGTCACCTCCTTCACTTAGACGAATTCATTTCCAAATATGATGCTTGATGGCCATTCGACGAGGCGAATTCAAA